ACTTTCGGAAGTGCATGTCTTTACGAGCGAGCTCGACTTCGCCTTTCAGAGGGGGCAAACGAAATAACTCGAGTGGTACGTGGTTTTTGTCTAACAACTAGCAGACGCGCATCAAGGAGAGAAGTCAAATGACTCACTGGCGAAGTGTCCCGTGGCGCCGAGGTTTGTTTGCTAAGAACCAAGAGTGAGGGTGGTTAGTGTCCCCAAGTTCCCTCCCAAATACTTTTCCCTCCGTTCGTGTGCGGCGAGGCTCCTCACTCTTTAAGGGCGTCGGCGGGTTTCGCGCGGTTGGCGCAGTTAACGTCGTCTGCTTTACGTCTGCTAGTCAAAGCGATGGCTGCTTTACCTCTCCTGGGTCTGTCGGAGATTCATCGCTTTTTCACCGGCGAGAACGCGGCCTTGGAGAAAGGCGAAAGGAAATACCTTGAAGGATTTCACTCTAGCTGCAAATTTCCAGGTGTCGTTTAAGAATTGTAGCTACGCGCTTAAGATGATGCTCTCCGATATATGTGACATTTTAGAGAGTCACCGTAAGGGCCCTCGCGGGGCCGCAAAGTGCAGCCTAGTGGCTACCACACTTTCCACGGCTCTAAATGGGCTGTCCAAGGCGGACTTTCCACAGCAGTGGCTGCAACGCCCCAAGAGCAGCATGCCGCGGCAGGGCGCTCGCTCAGCTAAGAAGGAAACACCATGTTCATCGCTATGTTGAAACGTTTCGTTGTAGAGCTTCGTGAGTGGTACCTAGCGTTCAATGAGTTGTTCATGGATAATCAGCTAAGACAGATGACAGCCGATGTAGAGACTAAATAAACAAATGCGGCTGTGCAATCGGTACTGTGAGCACATCATAGCCCAAAAGTGTTCGATCGATGCTTTTTGTCACAACTTTTTCGCTCGACTAAAAGGCTGTTTGTCCGTTAGCGTATTCGGGTATGTATGTGTGCCTTTAACCCGAGTGGCAACAGTTTGAAAACCTGTGCTAATCTGTGGTAGAGAATCCGAGCAAGATCGATCGAGCTACCCGAGCGGCGTCGAAGGTACCGCGGAAGTTATGTCGTAGCCTCGTTTAATTAAATGCAAAGGTGCAAGCGAGCTGGACAAGATTGACGAAAGTAATCCCTGGAGAAGGGTAACAAGAGGAACAAAGGACAAACATAAATCTTTTTCGAAGGTCGCTTTCTCGCCAGTGAAAAAGCGGTGAATCTCCGACAGACGCAGGAAAGGCAAAGCAGCTATTGCTTTGATTAGCAGACGTAAAGCAGACGACGTTAACTGCACCAACCCGCCGAGGAGTCTCGCCGCACACAAAAGGAGGGAAAAACTTTTTGGGAGGGAACTTGCGGATACTAACCACCCTCACTCTCGGTTCTCAGCAAACAAGCCTCGGCGCCTCGGGACACCTCGCCGGTGAGTTCTTTGACTTCTCTCCTTGATGCACGTCTGCTAGTTGTTCGACAAAAACAACGTACCGCTCAAAATATTTCGTCTGCCCTCTCTGAAAGGCCAAGTCAAGCTCGCTCCTAAAGACCTGCACTTCCGAACGTCGCAGGAAAGGTAAGACAGACGCAGACGACGTTGCGAGCAGACGACGTTGCAAAGGAGCAGACGACGCTATGATAGGAGGTCGCGATCAGCCAATCAGGGCTCGGCGTTGTGGCGTCACCGCTACCCCCTGCGTACGAGGCAGACGAACTTGCCCTCCGTATTGTCACTTAGTTTTCGGAATATTGAAAGAGCGATATCTAACACAGATGTTTCTAGCACGAAAGAAAGCAGTTCGTGTTTTGGTAAAAGTTTCTTTGCATAATTCGCGTGAACTTCTAAGAACTACAACATTATGTCGAGCAATGATCTGAACAACTACCGCCCGATGCGTGTATAAAGTGCAGTGATCCCCTAATGAAAAATACATCAGGCAATTCTGGTGTGACATTAGAGAATCCTTTTGTGACACCAGAATATCTGGTGTGCCCACCAGCGATGCTGATGTATCGTGCACACCAGCCTGTTGTGCCCACCAGAAATGCTGGTGTACCCGCACATCAGCCTGATGGGTACACCAAGAGAGTCTGGTGTCACATCACAAGGACTCATGCGCCGACCAGGCAGCCTGGTGTGCACGCCACGCAGTTTGATGTGACACCAGAGTTGTGTTTTTGTTGACTTTTCCCCCGGTCCGCGCGCGTGTTTTCTATTAGTTTGTGTGCCGCTCCGTCCCCCGACGGGGTGCATTGTTTCCTCCTCTCTTGGTGGTCGCCGGAGACCCCGCGGCGGGCTCCTTTGTGCTCAAGAAGTGTCCCCCCCGTCCCGAGCACTTTCCCGGGCGGCCTTGAGCAGCTTGGGGCGCTCGCCGGCTCGCCTCTTCGAGGGTTTCACTTTCCCTTTCCGCCGGTATTCTTGTTTAAGGTTGAGAAAGTAAAGAAGTCTTCTTTGTGAGTCGAAGCCGAAAAGATGTGTTGGTGCGCTTTCCTTACTTCCGACGAGCTTGGTTTGGTAGCAAAGCAACAAAGGAAGCTAGTAATTATTACAGTTTTTGGGGCCGTAATGCCTACTACGAGCGAGGAGGGCGTCGACCGCCTGAAGCGAAAGAGGATTACCCTGCGAGCCGCCACAACAAAGATCATCAACGAGATTGGCGTCTGCTGGCCACGGATCCAACCGACATGGGTGAGCTCGAAGAAACATTTGATATTCTTCTACTTAAGGAGGCTTCCGAAAGGGCTGGACAAGGGAATCGATTTATCTGTCGAATATGATGCCTTAGAATAGGAAATTTCTAGTGCGGAGGGGTACGCGGAACGGATCAGCGTAACTAAGACACGAGTCAACCGCAAGCTGAAAGGCCAAGAATTGCGGAACGACAGGGCGTCCGATTCTTCGACGCAGGTCAGTGGGTCCGGGCAAACTCCAGTTGATCACGGCCAACTCCCTACAGCAGTAAAGCTCCCGAAGCTTTACTGTTGTGCTTTTTCGCTTTCTTGAATGAAGTAATTATGGCAGCAGCGTTGTTGTCAAACTTATCATTGTACCCTTTTTGGTGAGTAAAGCAACACCCAGTCAACAGGTGGTCTGGTATCACATTACAACAAAACCTGAGGTCCCGCCAGAACACCAGAATTCTGGTGTAACATCAGAACACCAGATTTCTGGTGTCATAGCCACACATCATATTTCTGGTGTTACACCAGAAGACCAGATTTCTGGTGTCACACCAGAAAATGTCCCAAATCACATCTGTGAAAACGTCTGGTGTAACATCAAGTCACACCAGCCCTCGAGCTGGTGTATTTTTCAGTAGGGACACGAAGCTTCGAGTAGTCTTCGACGCCTCAGCTCACGGACCAAACAACGGATCCCTGAACGACCACCTTCAAACTGGCACGAAGATGAACACGAAACTTCTGCAGTGCTGCTCCGGTTCCAAAGGCAAAAGGGGGCGGTCGCTGCCGACATACAGAAGGCCTTTCTGCAGATAGCCATCGCTACAGCAGACAGGGGTGCCCATCGCTTCCTTTAGTTTTCAGCGCACCTCAACTGCATGAGACACTGCCAGTCATAGAGGAACGGCGAATGACAAGCCTACCCTTTGGGATTACTGCGAGCCCATTTCAATTTGTAGCGACCCTACGCCATCACCTGGAATCTGCGAGAGACCAGAGGAAACCCATCGCACATACTCTACTTTGCTCGTTCTACGTAGATGACATGCTGACAGCGGCGGCAAGCGCGGAACGAGCCACGAATCTCTCAAGCGGTGCGAAAATGCTCCTCCAAGATGCCGAAATAAAGCTTCGCATTTGGAGTGCAAATTGTCCTTATTGAAATGACGCAGGCGAGCGAGCTCGGTACGAGCTGATCGCACCCAAAAAACCTTTATTGACATGAACCACCTATGCTTATATTCTTTAAAAGTGACGTCACAGAGACACAGAGCCGTGTGCACTTATCTACTTGATAAGACGCTCGCGCTACGACACTCCTGCGCACTTACATTTTTGTCACTTTCGAAAGTCCTCCTGTTGAAACCGGTCTGGGTAACGTCGTTCACGCACACCACGTCGCAGCACGATGTGGAGCTCGTCTTGAGGCCGGCTGCTGGGTTCCCCGTCGCCGGGCGTAGGGAACGCGTCGGACGTCGGGTGGATCGGTGATGACTGTGCCGATCCGTCGTCGGGGGTGGGGGAACGCGTCTGCGTTTGTCGAGCACTGGGCTGGCCGAGATGCACCGTCCGATGACGGCGTCGGGGGCACCACCTGTACTAGCCGCAGTGGACGAGGCAGGAGACAGAGCGACTAACGCAACATGTTTATTCGGCAAGCGCGGCCGTATCAAGAACACTGAGCTTCGCGTTCCCAGCGCTTTTATAGATAAGCAATAGCCACGATAATGACGTCACGGCGCATCTGCATGACACCACATTCCCTCCCCTTAATTACGTTACACAGTCTCTAAGGTCTGTACCAATCAGGGGGCTTCTTAGTACGGGTACTGCGTCGCAGAGCTTCTGGCTGTTGAGGTGACGCAGCAGCTCGATGCGGTGACTGCTATGTGCAACTTGGGTGCGGATTTGCACCCCGCTGATCCAAAAAAGGCGCATCTTCAGGTGGCTCAGGTGTTGGTGCTGCAGGGCTTGGTGTCTCCGTCGTTGGCAGGGGAGACCTCGTGGTAGATGACTCAGGCATAAAGTCTGCAATTGAACTTGGAACCGAACACGGAAACGCACTCGGCACAGTTTCGGCACTTTCAAAAGAACACGGACGTAAATTGTCTGCATGCACAAACCTGTTTTCTTGTCCCACACGAACGATATAGGTGGAAGCACTGCACCGCTTTTCTACAACGCCCGGCAACCACTTCGCGTCACCAGGACGAAGACCTTGTACTAGAACGCGGTCTTGCACTTCGAACGATGTCCACGGGCCTCTTCGTTCGTCTGCTCTCCTCTTCGCCCTGGAGAACCGCTCGTGCATGCGACCCTCCAGGCTTGGTTGCAGAAGGCTCAGACGTGTGCGAGGATTCCACGAGAGAAACAGCTCCGCAGGTGTCTGCCCCGTAGTAGCGGTAGGCGTGTTCCGATACCTGAAAAGGAACAGGTCGATCCGATGCTGTAAGGGCTCTTGATACCCGTTTTTCTCTCGTCGAGAAGCTGGCGCAGCAGGTCTCGCTTTACTGTCTGCACACAGCGCTCGGCGCTCCCGTTCAAGGCCGGATGGTACGGTGGAGTCCTTGTATGACGGACTCCGTTCTTCTGCAAAAAGTCCGCGAAGGTCCTTGCGGTAAATTGGGGCCCGTTGTCCGTAACCACTTCTTCCGGAAGCCCATACGATGCGAAGACGCTCCGCAGTTTTTCGATCGTCTTCTCCGCTGTTGTTGTCGTCATCACAAACACCTCTACCCACTTCGAATGGGCGTCAACAAGCACCAACAACCACTGGTTGTCCGTGAAAGCAAAATCTAGGTGAATTCGCTGCCATCTGCGAGTCGGCCAACCCCACTTCTGTAGTGGTGCACTGGGTGGAGCATTTTGCGTCAACTGACACGTACTGCAGCTTCTGACAAGATGATCAATGTCTTGTGTTAGCTGAGGCCACCAAACATAGCTACGGGCGAGCATTTTCATGCGCGTCATACCCGGGTGTCCTTCATGCAACAGATGCAACACTTGTTTGCGCAAGTTTTGAGGAATAGCCACACGAGTTCCCCACGTGACATACTGTTGGTCTACCGACAGTTCATATCGCTTAAGAAAGTACGCTGTCAGCTCGCTGTCAGTTACATGCGCGGGCCAACCGTGCATCGTATACATCAGCACTTTTGACAGCACACTGTCAGTGCGTGTGCCTTTCTGGATCTCGACAGCAGATAATGGCACTTCATCAACAAGTGAGAAGAAGTGTACGTAATCTGATACATCTTTCTCATTAGCTAGCGGCAACCGTGATAGTGCGTCAGCGTTTCCAACATTGCTGCCTTTGCGATACACCCACCGGTAGTCGTACGCCGCGAGCAATAAAGCCCAGCGTTGCATGCGGGCAGCTGACATCACTGGAACGGGTTTGCCGTTACCCAAAAGACCAGCTAGTGGCTGGTGATCGGAATAGATGACAAAGCTGCGCCCAAACAGGTGCTTATGACACTTTTTGAGGCCAAATACCACAGCAAGGGCCTCTTTTTCGATGTGAGCATAACCTTGCTCAGCTGTGCTTAATGCTCTGGACGCGTAAGCGATTGGATTTTCATCTTTTCCGATCGTGTGGAACAGAATGGCGTCCACGCCGTAAGGCGACGCGTCACACACCAGTTCAAGCTCTTTTGTTAGGTCGTAGTACGTCAAAACGTTTCCTTTTGTGAGCCAAATTTTACTTTGCTGGAAGGCCTGCTCCGCTGCATGTGACCACTGAAACCCTTTTTCGTGATTCAGCACATTATACAGCGGCCTCAGCATGGCAGCCATGTTAGGAACAAACTTCCCATCAAAGTTTAACAACCCAAGGTAGGCTCGCAACTGGGTTTCATTCTTTGGAGTAGGCACCTCCTTTATCGCTTTCACGTTTCCATCTGACGGCCTTATGCCTTTCTCATCAAGAATGTGCCCAAGGTAGGAGACAGACGTTTGAAAGAACTTGCATTTTTCTTTCTTCAATCGTATGCCTCTTTCCTGGAACCGTGATAGGACACTTTCTACTTTCTCGAAACACTCTTCAAGAGTGGACCCGGCTATCAGAACGTCATCTAAATAGCAAGATACGCGGTCAAGCCCTTTTAACACGTCATCCATTACTGCTTGAAAGATCGAAGGCGCACTCGTGATGCCGTAGGGTAAGCGCGTGTACTTGAACAGTCCCAGGTGTGTGTTGACAACGACTAGAGACTGTGCTTCGGGATGCAGTGCGAGCTGCTGATAGGCAGTGGAGAGGTCAAGAACCGTGAAATACCGGCACCCCGACACCATTACAAATAAATCTTCCATAACGGGAAGGGGGTAATGATCCGTACGTAGGCACGGATTCAGCGTAACTTTGAAATCACCACACACCCAGACTTGGTTGTTCGGTTTTGGTACAACTACAAGGGGCGTAGCCCAGTCACTTTGCTCTACAAGTACAAAAACGCCTGTTTTTACGACTGACTGCCGCTCTAGTGACACGGCTTCCCTCAACGCGAACGGGACTTATCGGGCATTGCAAAATACCGGTGTGCTACTCTCTTTCAGAACCAGTTTGACCGGGCTGCCCTTGATCTGTCCTAGCGTAGGCTCAGAAACCTTGGCATACTTTTCAAGCAGCGCCGCCACCTTGTCTAGGCACACTCCATGTACGCTAGTCCAGTCCAACTTCAGAGCCACCAGCCAATCACGTCCCAGCAACGCCGTGTTGCTATTGTCGCGTGTCTTCACGACAATCAATGGTAGATGCTCGCGCTGGCCGTTATGCTCGACGAGAGCAGAAAGCTTCCCAGCCACTGTCAGTGGTGTTCCGCCGTACGTTTTTAGCTTCAGGGGGCTCGGCTCTAAAGGTAGAGAGGGCCAGTACTTCTTGTACAATGCTTCCGGTACAATTGAGACCGACGCGCCCGTGTCTATCTGCATGCGAACATTCTTCTGGGCTACTTTCAAGGAAATTTCGTAATGTCCTGAGCGCCCCTCGCAAAAATAGACATTGTACAACACCACTTCGTCCCGGTCACTGTCTTCCACCACTACGTTCGCGGAGTCTTTAGCCCCACCCCTGCACATTTTCGCTAAGTGTCCGTAACGCTTACAAGAGCGGCAGCGATACTTGCGAAATTCGCAGGTAGACGACTCGTGCGCTGATCCGCACCAGAAACAGTCCGAGGATTCCAACGCTCTTGCTCTCGATGATTCGGCCGTAGCAGACTATTTCTCCCGTCGCTGTGGGCGTCTCCCGCTGTCTGGCTTCTGGCGCAGCACGCTGACTGTCCCCAGGGCATGACGGGGCTGAAATACATTGCTTTCTTTGCGTGCGAGCTCGATACTCTTCGCAATATCGCAGGCATTTGCGAACGTCAACGCGCTCTTTTTCAGCAACTACGCTTGGGTTTCTCGGTCGCTCAGCTCGGCGACAAAACGATCCCGAAGGGCGTCGTCCAGAAATGCACCGAAGTCGCATGACGCGGCCAATCGCTTCAGCTCTACTGCAAAAGCTGCCACCGATTCGCCCTCTTGCTGGAAACGACGGTTAAACTTGAACCGCTCCGCTATAACTAGGGGCTTCGGCGAGTAATGTCCCTGCAATGCTTGCACCAGTTGTGCGTAGGTCTTGCATTCAGGCTTTACCGGCTCGAGCAAAGTTTTCAGGGTCTTGTAAGCGTTTTTTAGAGCGCAGCTCTTAGGGGCCCGTTTCCGGCTTGAGCGGCGTCGCCGTCGGCGTCGGCGTCGCCGTCGCCGTCGCCGTCGCCGTCGGCGTAACCGCGCGGTGCATCATGGGAAATGTCCCATAATGCACCGCGCGAGCCCCCCACCAAGGTCACGTGACCTCGTGGGGGTCACGTGACCCCCCGAAGTCACGTGACTCCCCTGAGGTCACGTGGCCCCCTCCTCGAGGTCACGTGACCCCCGCCGATGTCGTGTGACCCCCCGATGACGTCATCGTCACTGATGACGTCACCGGCATCCACATCGTCATCGTCATCATCACTGATGACGTCACCGGCATCCACATCGTCATCGTCATCACTGATGACGTCACCGGCATCCGCATCGTCATCGTCATCATCACTGATGACGTCACCGGCATCCACATCGTCATCGTCATCATCACTGATGACGTCACCGGCATCCACATCGTCATCGTCATCATCACTGATGACGTCACCGGCATCCGCATCGTCATCATCACTGATGACGTCACCGGCATCCGCATCGTCATCATCACTGATGACGTCACCGGCATCCACATCGTCATCGTCATCATCACTGATGACGTCACCGGCATCCACATCGTCATCGTCATCATCACTGATGACGTCACCGGCATCCACATCGTCATCGTCATCATCACTGATGACGTCACCGACATCCGCATTGTCATCGTCATCATCACTGATGACGTCATCAGTGATGTCACTGATGTCGTTACCGGCATCCGCATCGTCATCGTCATCATCACTGATGACGTCATCAGCGACGTCACTGATGACGTCACCGACATTCGCATCGTCATCGTCATCATCACTGGTGAAGTCATCAGTGACGTCACTAATGACGTCATCGGTACCCGCATCGTCATCGTCACTGATGACGTCATCAGTGACGTCAGTGATGACATCATCGGCATTGGGGGTCACGTGACCCCCAAGGTAACGTGACCCCCCCCCCTGGTTAGTTTAACCCCCCCCCCCCCAGTGCCCTTCCCTCCTCCTCCTCAAGAGCTGCGCTCTAATTCGGCGTTACAGGGAGTTGTAAGCGGCTTTCATTTTTTTTGCTATTGCCGTTATGAACGTTTAGACCTTGAGGTCGTCGCTCACCTTGGATGCCTTCAGGAAGTGTTCAAACCTCTCCACGTAGGACTCGAATTCCTCGTCGCCGTCCTCGACGAACTGATCGAACCTTCCAACCATTGTCATCCCGGCGTCTCGTCGCGGCACGCTCCAGACACGCTGCTAGTGGCCTTTTTCAACCCGGCAGGCATGCCATCCTCGTCGCCATTTAATGTAGTAGCCGCAGTGGACGAGGCAGGAGACAGAGCGACTAACGCAACATGTTTATTCGGCAAGCGCGCCCGTATCAAGAACACTGAGCTTCGCGTTCCCAGCGCTTTATAGATAAGCGATAGCCACGATAGTGACGTCACGGCGCGTCTACATGACACCACACCACCAATGATTGTCGTTCGTCGCGCCGGATTCTTGCCTCGTCGACATGCACCTTCACTAGTTCAGTTGCAACCGGCCGTGCGAAGGCATCGCGCATATGGTCTGCGTCCATAAATCTAATTTGACCACTCGCGACGCGCACAAGATACGTCACTGGACTGACAACCTGAGTACCGTGCCATCGTCCCACGAGATGCTCTTGCCACGCTTGCCACACTCTCTCCCCAACAGCCAATGCACGCTCGGCGACCCGATATTTATCCTTCCGACGTTTGTGTTTTAATTGTTTATCGCGCTTATCCCGTACAAAATCTTGCTTACGGAAAGACAGCTTGACCCTCGGTTGCCGATTTAAAAATAGCAAGGCGGGTGTCTTCCCTGTTATGGAATGCGGCGTTCTGCGATAACTCATCAAAAAGCTGTCCAACGCTTCCTGTATCGTCTCTTTCGTTAGGGCTTTGCGTTGCGATAACAGTTGTTAGAACAGATAACAGTTTAGAACTTTTCTTGCACGTATAGGCCTTACACCAGCAGTAGTCCGCTGCATTCACCTTGCCGCAACAGAATCACCTTTGTTTCTTGCCTTCCTGTCAAGTTGAGCTTGTATTTTTTTGTGACGGATCGCTCTTGTTTCGCGGCAGTTTGTTTTGCGGCCAGTTCCCTGTCGAGGGCTGTCTTGCAGGCGCTTTCAAAAGTGAAGGCTTCTGCTGCGAACAGCACTCTTTGCGTGTCTCCGCTTTAAATCCCTGCTACAAGCCTGTAGCGCAAGGCATCCATAAC